AAATAAACGTGCGTTAATCATTTTACTATACAGCAATGAACGATGGTTGCTACTACCATCGCGTTACAACGACAATTATTGACATCATCGTTAAATCAGCTCTCACGCGTGCTAGTTCGACACTTAACGTTCTTCGCTACTTCAGTGTGATGTTCCCAGCTTTTCGTATAAGAATCGAACGTACGAGAGATTAAACTGCCTGTCGAAAATCTACTAACAACCAACAGTGGGCAGAAGGTCAACGACGATGCGATAAAAAGCGAGTTATAAATCTGACGAACGTTCGCCTTGTCTTTAGGTCACGCAGCCTTGACCCTGAGGAGCCGTCTGAGATGTATCATCATGCGGAAAGGAGAGGAGAACATGGAGGCGAAGCCGCCGACAAATTTGTTGGTGCTGAACGAGGTCGTGGTGGATCGAGGGCCGTCTCCGTACCTTTCGAACATCGACCTCTTCATCGACGGCAAACACGTGACCAGTGTGCAGGGTGACGGTCTGATCGTGAGCACGCCAACCGGGTCGACAGCTTATGCTGTCGCTGCCGGAGCCAGCATGATTCATCCTTCGGTACCTGCGATCATGATTACGCCGATCTGCCCTCACTCTTTGTCCTTCAGGCCGATCGTCGTACCCGCCGGCGTCGAGCTGAAGGTACTTCCGAATTTTTTCCGCCGCCGTGCAAATGTGCTGGCAACCTTATATAGGCAGTGCAAGTTTCGATGTGAAAGGGACTGGAATTGTGGAAAAGAAAAAGGAAAGTTAGACGAGAAAGGGACTTTCGAATCCATAGTTGTACGATAATCGTATCGCAATATGATGATTAATAGAACTGTAATCATAGAGACACAATTATGCGAGATCTTGGTAGCAATTGTGCAACTAGTTGGTCTTTATCGGAGTCCATGTGAAACATTTAGATATAGCATTTCCGTGTGGGTCAGTAGAGAATCCTTATCATGGTGACATCGGTACTTCTGGTCCGTGACGGTGCCCCATAGAAGGAAACTTGGTCCCGGTGGATGTCGCCCGCATTCCCAGACCATGCGTTGCTCCGCTGTTGTCCTCTGAACAAATTTTCGAACCGTTCTTTCTAAACGTTTGCCCTGGAGAATGTATGCGATATATCACCGATGCTATTTGTATTGCTCGAAAGACGAAAAAAGAATTGCGAAATCGTACCTTGTTGTCGACGATTTAACTGCAACTCGCCTTTTCTATCGTAGATCTCCGTATCACCGGACAGCAGGAACACCTCCTGGGTGTCCTTCGATGGTAGAAACAGGCAGGAACTCTTCCACGGTGACAGGTAAAAATTAACTAATTCCTGGATATATCTAATCATTTCCGTTTCTCGCGGTTATTACAGATAATGGCAAACAGCAACGCCCGCAGCACAGCTTACGTCTCCTTCGATGGTCGCAATCAACAAGAGCTACGCGTCGGGGATAGGTTTGTCCTGTTATTTCATAAAAGACTTTCCGTCTTCTCTTCTCTATTTTCATTTGCGGCCACAAAACGCTCCAACTGATTACGACATCCGTTCGTACATTTACGACTCTGTTTTTCCTTCTAAAGTACATTTCGTTCTTCTGTTTTTCCATATCTCATGGTACTTGGAAAGTTTTCTTATGGCATTCCCTATGCTATTAACTGTTTCTAAAATTTCCGCTCGTTTACGGGTACAACTGATGAAACATGGGATCTTGATCCATTTCCTTCTTTAAAAGAAACTGAGACGTTGGCTGTACTGCAAGTTGATTGGTACTCTTCATGCTTTATCTATTGCTATTTATCGCTACAATTATATATTCTTATGTCAATGGGTAGATTCCACGAATCTCTAATATCTTGCTATTTTCAGCCTAAGGGTGACCACGTCGATTTACCCAGTGCCCAGCATCTGTGCCGCTGACCAAATCACCGACTGGTTCGATTCACTGGCAGAGTGTTTGCACTGGAATGTCCGGAAGAAGCAGAAACATCTGGACGAACTGAGCGACTTGACGCATTCGTCTAGCAATGATACCCTGGACTCCCTTGATCGTGATAGCTAGGCTAAGGGGAAGAGTCACGGTAGACTGTATCGAAACAATCATTTTCAGACCAAGTTTTAAGGAATCACCGTGTTCGATGATTTGTCTACGAGGTCTGGTCACGAAAAATATCAATGACTCATTGTACACGATGCACGAAAATGGCAAGCCTGACTTGTGTTCGCTTCGTCGTGAGAATAGAAGAGAATGAACTCATCTAGTAGTCGTTGGAAGAACTGAGAAATTGTATGCGCCCTCATGGTACCATTAGTGATGTTCAGATCCACGATACAGCAGGACTCGAAGCTCACCCTTCAGCTAACAATAATTCGATACGTGTTCAAAATTAATCGAAGAGCCACATTGTAAAATTTGCTACTTAATACGAACAATTGGTCGCCGTTACGAGATGAAAAATCACGAAGAGTTTGCATGTAATCAGTGCTTCGAAAAGCACAACTGAAGTATTTTCTGTGTCCAACGCATAATTCTACGCTCTACAACGATGTTTCACTCTGATTCGCCAAATCATTTCTAAACTGGCCTTTGTCGTTTTCATTTCTTCTTTCTTTCCTTCTTTTTTCATTAGATTCTTTTAATCGGTTGTATATAAGATTAAGAAATGAAAACACAGGAAGATAATATAAAAGAGATACTAATAAGTGGGCGTAATTGAATTGTTAACAGAAAAAGCAGAGTGAGTTATGAATATTTATTCCTACTTAAGGAACAATCAGTTAATCAATATTGAAAAAAAAAGGGAAATTATTAAAAGAACATTTCACGTCACATGTTCATGCTTATTTATTACACACTCGTGTTTCTTGATGCATTTCAAGCTTTGGATCTATGTGAACTGATGTTTCCTATACGGATACATATTTCAATCAATTTATCAAAGTGATTTTGTTAAAAGCAACGAAGAGAGCACACGAACGCGAATCAATCATAGAAAATGTCGTTGTCTGTCATTTTTTCTGCTTTCTGACAACGAAAATGATCCAGTTAAGGATCATCCTTTTGTAAATATTGGATGTATTTTTCCAATAAATAAATTTTTTTAATAAAAATCATTTTTATATAGAAAGTATGATGGTCCATATTAATAATAACTAACACAATGATTAAAAACACTTATTTAAAAGTTCTCGAAAGATATAAATCCTGATGAATGAAAGAAAACAATATATTATGTACAATATAAGGTAACACGTCAAAATATAAAATTCAGAGACAAAGTCATACCAAGATATCAATAAAAATAATTTATGGCATGGTAAATATATATGAGATAAGATAAGAGAAAACAAAATGGTATTTCGAATGAATAAATTATAGCAATTAACCATGAAGTATTAAAACAAGTAAGAAATAAGGTACGACAGTTCAAATTTGCATTTGATTGCTTGCTTTTATGTATCTATAATCTCAATTAGTTATATATTTTTTGAAAAGAAGATATAAAATACATAAAAGATAATGCGAACATTGTATAATAAGCAAGGGTCAAACTTAAAATGCATTCAGCATCGAGGCATTGTAAGTTTTGACGTCAAACCATTTATTTTTGCACAACCAGGTAATTAAATATACATTATATACAAGAATTGTATAAAATTTAAGAGAACATGTCTCCTTCATTAAACAACAACAGCATATAATAGTAAGTAGCATAATCCCTTTGGGTGAGTTATTAGAGTTTGAAAGAAACAAAGTACTTAGTGCTCATACCAAAATGTAAAATTCTATTTATGACCTCACCCAAAACGTAATGATAGAAAATCTGCACGGCTCTGCGTTGCTTAATTAACATAATAATTAACATAAAACATAAATATTTACCTCTAAGCTCTTACATTTGGTTGCATCAGTCATGAGCATGACATGTATACGCGTGTACTAATTTGTATACACATGTGCATACAGGTCAAGACAATAATCTAATTAATAATCTAATTAACATTACAACTGATTCAATTTCACTGGTATGTACATTGTTAAATCGTACTAAAATATAATTTTAACGTTATCCGGAAAATGGCGCATATCGGCATGGAAATCAGGCTCCGAGCGCACATTACAAAAAACGATACAAAACAATAAAATATAACTTACCACTAGTGCTCTTAAATAAACGGCACCCCATCTTTAAGTTAACATCCTTTTTAAATTAAAAAGCAGTCTATAGAAGAACTTTTACTGGGACTTTACGCACTTTTCCACAGGTTCAACACTACCGTACTTTTCGCGCGCTTTCCACTTCGTTTGAAACAATTTGAACCGTGGGGGCGCACATATCAATTGTTTCCATGTTGGATCTTTGCACTTTTAGGGCAGTAGATATCGTTAAGATACCGTTGATATAATTTTCGTATAAAAAATATAGGTAATTTTCGTAGACATATAAATGTTTCCAATATACTTAATTATTCACGAATAACATTAGAAAAATCGTTTTTCCTATTTCCTTAATGAATTTACAAATGTCACTCAGATTATCTTAGGCTGCCGCGCATTATAGATAACCACCCTTTCTATAGAAATGCCTCCTATGCTTGTAACGGTCGCGCTTGAATCACGTGACAGTCGAAGGACGGTGTTTCGTATTGTTCGTAAAAATGATCCTCGCTTCTCCGAGAATAAAGTGCAACGTGACTGATTGTCTAGTTTCTCACGGCATGTAAGTGTTTCTTCTTCCACACTAATGCCTGCAGTTGACGTATGTCTCTGTTTTGCCATTTACGATGCGAACGTAACGAGTACAGGCTCGTACGAAGAGTGCAGGTACTCGCTGGTCTATAGGTGAAAAAAGAAAATAATTGTAAGTATGTTTTATCTCGCTACAAATAACGTCATCAACAGAATATTTGCAGTCGCATTTTCGTCATTCTAAGACTAAATCATAATTTTTAGGGAATTATTCATGGTAAACGATACGATATATAAATACGATACATCGATGCGATATATAAAATTTTCGTCTGTACGTACGAAAAATAATAGTCGCATGTGAAGTGGAAATCTAGTCTCAGTATGACGGACTTTCAAGCTGGTGCGCAATCACATAAAAACTACACAGCATCGCCAATACAGCAAATGTTGCAAACAATCGACAAACTGCAATTCTTGATTCATCTAAATAATGTACGCCAATCAAGTCTGTTATGGCACACGGTGTTAAGTGTCACGCATGTATGCAAGCAGGCAATCGAAATCATCACATCGGAGTTAGTATTGTTAGAGCACACACTCACATGCCTTCTGATCTGAATCCTGATCCACGCAAGACGGTTGCTGTATATATAAAGCCGGTTTCAATGGTTTGCCATCTTGGTCCTCAACTTGGATCACCAGGCCGTGGTTACTTCCGTTTCCATGAGGATTTCGTGGATTTAGTCTCCAGAATCGAAGGCCTTGTCTGACGTCTAATGCCAAATGATTACCTCTAGATGTGAGGGGCGTCACTATCGAGTCCATCAAACGTTTCTTCGCTGTAAATGAAAATTTTTATTCGCTCGGTATCATTTTCGATGAAAATGAATTAGATCAATTTTCAACTTACATCTGTGCCTTTTTAAAGTTTTCGTATAATAAAAGACCGATATCCTGATTTTTTTCTCATCTTCTTCTTCCTCATCGAAGGTACTCTCTGAAGAGGACGTCACGTTTTCTTGCGGCAATTTGAATATTCTCAATTTAGCTGCGACCACATGATCGCTGGAAGTCAGATTCAACTGAAAATGCATGTTCATGGAAAACGAGTCCGTCCAAGCGTCCTGATCTGTATTCCGTGGAATTTGACCTGATCAGAAGGATGGAACTGTGAACTTCATCTGCATATTTTCATACAAAGGTATTTAAATAATTAATGAATCCGTCAAGTAACTCACAGGTCGGCGAAAACATGGTCAATCGTTCGCGTTGGACTTGATTAGCGTTGGCGGTGAGGTTGAATCTCCCGGTGAGGGCCAGAACTCGCGTCTTGATGTCCTCGATGGCTTTTTCACCCTGGCTGCACACACAGAAAAAGATTCGTAAACTGGTAACGGTAAGAGACGAATGAAGAACGGAAAACCACGGCAGCCGACAAGCTCTCAACGTAATGGGAGAATAAAAAGAGAGATGTTTGATTTTATCCTATTAGTAAATAAGGACTGAAGCCGAGATTAGAGAAGAGAGTTAAATAAAAGAATCAGAAGTAACCAAAAAATTCCGTGTTTGGATGGTGACGTAAAAATTTTCACTTAGAGATACGTGCAAGTTTTCCGGGTAGTAAGACAGGCTAATAGACGGTGGTCAGTGACCTACAGGGCCCATAGTGTGGGTCAGAGATATTTATTATACGTTCTAGACATTGACTAGACAGCCGTCGCGGACAGTCGTCTCGTCTAGCAGGGAACTATTAATGCATTCGTGTTGCGTCTCGATTCTTGGTCCCTTCCATTAAATTAATTGCCCCTTTACCTTTCAATGTTTCATCCGAGATTGAAGAGAACAATGTCATAATTTCAATTTACGACAACGATAAATTCTACTAGTTATAGGCCTAACATTTTACAGAGGAACAGACTTCCAAGCGCATAGAACTCGAGCCGACGATCAGGTGAGATTACGGGATTGCATAATGGAGGCTCTAAGTCGTTAACCGGGTAGGAAAAAAAGGAGGAGCGTCTTTTCTCTGCGTCACTGGCAAGGATTGCTTCGCTGGACGCCCACTTGGACCTTTGAGCGCAGCCAATCGCGCGTCAATGACCTCGTTGTTGCTCGATAAACAACCAGAAGCGGTTTTCCTAAACAATCGACTGGTCAGACTACGAGAATGGTTTCCACACGCAGTTTGATGCCCAAGGAGAACTTGGAAAAATTTTTTTTCAATCCCGATTCAGTTTGTTCCACTTTTCTTTTTTTTTCTTTTTGTAGAGGAACCCCTTTGGGGAAGCGGAAGAACTATAAGGAGCAGAGCAATCGGACGAAATCTCGCCACGAAATCTTGACGGATTGTATTCGATTCTAGACATGCTCCTTAATCTAGCCACGTCCAAGTCACGCATTCTACAGCGTCTCGTTGCGTACGTGTCACGTCTGTCTGCCGTCTGGGAAAGGGAAGGACTCGGGTGTCTGGAGGCCGTTGCATCATGAGAATGAATCCAGTGATCCTTCCCGAGTACCGTATTAAGAAAATTGGCTGCGTTACGCCGGTTTTGTAACAGCCTTTGGACGAACACGAAGCACCGTCGACACATGGAAGTCTAGATAAGATAAGCTTTCTTCAAGGATCTTCGTAGCGATCTTTATCGTTAATTAAGGAAACAAGAAGATCATGGAACAATTTCTGTAAAACATTAGAGCAGGTTTCGCAAGGAAATGACCGAGGAGATAACTTGGGAAGCTGTTAAGGAGCGAAAATCGACACGCGGAGAATTGTTGGTTGCGGGGGTCGAAAGTCAGCGGAAAACGTTTCGTGTACCGCGAAACGGTGAACGTCAGCCTGATTGGCGACCGTCAATAAATGCACGTTGCATCGTCTGGCGGTGAGGTGGGGAATCACTGACAAAAACTTCCTCTTCGCTCTTCGTTGTGCGTCTCGTATCGTTCTTTGCGGCATAGGAAGAGAGACGCATAGACAAGGTCAGCGCATTAAATTAAAATGTGTTACATAACCTCGTAAGAGAGCAGTCCTAACTGCAGTCTGACTAGACACCCGGTGATTACGAGGGTGCTCAACTCAAACTCGCTCTTTCGTTGTGATCTAACTGCGCCCGTTTCGTCATACACATTGTAAAAAAATAAATTAATCCGTCTGATAAATTAGGACATTTTCGCGTTGTCCTTTTCTCATAATCACGATGTTCTGCATTCTTAATCCATGTTATTATCGTTGACTAACCCTCGTAATCCTTTAAACGAGGTGACTGTGTTATATAGTTATTTTTCTCTTGGTTTGTAGGCAGGCTGACCTTTGAAATCGAACGACAAGAAGATTCCGTTGTTGGTGGATCGTCCAGATCACCCTGTAGAGGCCTGAGGAAGAAGCGGAACGACCGGCACACCGGAGGACTCTCAGCAGGCTACGCCAGTGCCGACACGAATGCATTTACGCGTCTAGACTTAATAAAATAAAAGAAACGCCTTCGCACCAGAGGCCAAGGTGGTGGAGGAGAAGGAGGGCGATTTAAAAACATAGCTAGGGACCACAGCGGAATTTCCACCGCGCGTCCTTCCTGACTCTGCTCTTCGTCTCCCCCGTTTGTCTTTCCAAAAGATTACGGACCCTGTTTCTGCTCAGTAAATCACTCTTCTTTGACTTCAGGGAACTTCGAATGATATCGTGAATCACGGATTTTAATATAGACCACCCTCGCGACCGGATTGTCTCGGCGCTGACCTTGTTCAGTCGCGTTCTTAATAATTCGATGATCTTCAATTAGTTCCTGAAATTTTTTGTTTAGAAAAAATACGAAGCAGGAAAACGGAGAAGAAATGGCCGAAGATGCGGACGCTGGTCAGCCCGAGGTGTAGAAATTCAGTGGCGCTACGCGGTTCTTCGTTTCGTCACGTTATTTTTACGGGCCATCAAGATATTTTTACGTGGCGGGGGCAATGATTCGTCGAGAACGTCTTTGTCGTCAAGTATTCGCGAGCACAGGTCTGGGTTACGTCGTTGGAAAACCGTTTGCCCTTTACTCCATTACGATAATTAAAGGAGAGATACTCGGTGAAGTATATATGTATGTGGGAGAAAGAAAGAGGAGACGAACGGGTGTTACCTTTTCATGCAGACACAACACACGTCTCAGGAGAATAGATCTCCTGTTGTTATCGCGATAAATCGTATCTCATGCAATACGAGCAATGAGATAATCGTGATGAGAGAATGTATTTTTAGATTATGCAAGCCAAGCCAAAAGGAAAGCAGCCGGTCCGCTGGGGGAGCAAAACAAAAAAATTCGACAGAATTTATCTGTCCATCTTATTCGGCACACCGAGTCCCTTACCCAAAAAGCGATCATAGTGCCATCGGGGTGAAGCTTACCTGTCGAAGCCTGAGCTTAGGTTTCCTCTAAAAGACACAAAAAGCACATTTTATACATACTAATTCCGCGTTTGCCATTTTGCAAAGCAAGACACACGATGAACAACGTATAATGTGACATAATGAACGAAGGAAAATCGTGCCGCCATTTTTTAAGTTTCAAATTTTTCTCCATAAATGAAATCTGTACTAAAGTTTTGAACGTGGAAGAATTGATTTTAATTATCGAAAAGCACAGTGAACCGAAGCACAGATTAGGCGAACATAGAACTACAAAATACGACGATGAGTTTCACTTACCCTCGTCGATGAGCAATAGCCACTTGCAAATAGGACGATAGATTGGCCAAGGGAAGATTGCCGGCGGATACGTTATTATTGGCCACGAAGAGTTTAACAGAATCGGGAGTGTCGTTCAGATATCCTAACGTGTCATTTTCGTTCTCCTCTGTGTTCCAGTTCAACCGGGAATCGTGGCTGGAGTCTTCATAGTCAGACGTCTCGTTCTCCTCGGTATTCTCGAAGCCAAGGGAATCCACGAACTCAGGGATCACCCTGTAAACGTCATCTTCAACCCACTCGAGACCTTCATACTCACTAATCCGTTTATTCTCACTAAATTTCTCCTCACTTTTAGAGATGGGTACTTTATCCGTAGAATTGGTAACGATACCCGTCTTATTTTTGTCCTTTGAAATTTCGTCTGGTATAATACTTTCCGTGCTACTAGTACTACTCGATGATAAAGACGCGATTGTAGTAGAATAATCATTTTTTAGATAATTACCCCTGACATTGGTGCTGCTCAATTGATAAACCAAAGGCACAGTAGCAGTAGTAGTTGAAGACAACGGTGATGGTGTCGATGCATGAAAGGAATTGCCAACATTGCCCAAAGTGTGTTCCATTGTCGAAGAAACACGATGCTTGGGCGTTCTAGGACGGTATTTGTGAGTTTCGTCGGAACCTGAGCTGGAATCAAATTCAGAGTCATCGTACCGTATCTTGAAGACCACGTGAGGTTCCATAGCCCTGTCAAAATCACGATGCAGATTGTTCTCGACATCCTGTTCCTTGGTGGCTTTGGTAGTCTCTTCGTAGTCAACAGCCGTAGGTTCCGACCAGGATTGCTGAAATTCTACGTTGGAGGGTAGGTTCTCGTAATCGAGGATCGCCTGGCGATTATACGCTTCGAAATCGAAATCCTTGTAAGAAGGTGATCTATCCATGTGACGATTTTTTTTACCTTCTCGCTTGGTGTCCTCGAAATCAGGGTTCCTCGAGGAAGAATGATCCATGGAACTTTTATTCCAGTTTCTAGCCTTCCGTTCTCCATCCCCGTATAATACTTTTGTCCAGGATTTCATGCTTTCCTTCTTCCTCAGTTCCTCGTCCTTCTTCTTGTTCAGTTCCCTCTCTCGAATCGCAAGAACTTCCTCCAGACTATAATTCAGACTTTTTAATAGCAACATGTCACCCGTACTCAGGTCACCAGTGATTATTTTTAGGATAGCTTTCTCCAACATCTTTTCCAGCCTCCTCTCGCTGAAAGGGACCGTGCCTTTAGTTTGTTCGCCCTTTAGACTTCTCCTGTTCTTCTCGCTCTCAGAGAACACGACGTTCTCGTTGTCACTGGCCGCGTACCTTTTCACGTGGTCCACCGGATCCCCCTTCTTTCTGTCGTCCGCGTGGACGTCGCGATGATGATGGTGACATGTTACACTGTTCATAGTCGAGGCGACCAACAACAGCACGAAGAACCTGAAGAATTCCATGACTACGACCAGGAAAAGCTCTATTCGGAAACGTGGGAACTCTCACTCGATCGGCTCTTTTCCCTGTCAAGATATTTCGGAAACAGTAAACGGTACCACTTTGTTCATCGACATGCAAGTGCAGCCACTGTTATCGTTCAATGGATTCCTTCATTCTTATCTCGCGAGGGAATTCGCAACCCTCGAAGGTAAGGAATTATCGAGAAGGTAAGCGATGGTTCGCAAAACCGCGTGCTCTTTCTGTCGAAGCGCAAGTGACCCAGAGAACGGAGCAGGCAGACGTTGACGGAAGACGCTGCGGTGTGTCTGCGTTACGAACAAGTGTTAAACAAACTGGTCCGTGATACGGAGTGGCGGATGATCGCGGACTAGTCTAATCGCATCAGGAAGCCGCGGTATATATGTAAGTAGGAAAGATTCGTGGCATGCGTGTGCACGGGCTGAGCAGTAAGTCTCAACTGAGCCGAGCTGGCCTGCTCACGGACATAATTCTGTCTACTCACTAATTCCGAGACAAGCACGAAGCCGCGAGAGGAGACGCGCCGGTGTTACTACGATCACTGCTTTTTTTCTTCTTCTTCTTCTTCTTCTTCGTCTCCTTTCTCTTTCTCTCGGTGCGTCTGTTCCTCTCGCTCCACCCGCCGCGCGCGTGTGGTAATCCCTTTCCCTCGCTCGCCGAAATCCCGCGGACGACTGCCTTTTCTCTCTCTCCGTCACGCTTTATCGCGCTCGTCTCTTCTTCTTCCTCTTCGACTGCTCGATTTTTCCGCCTTGATTTTTCCAACGCTCCTTTTTCCCTTCTCCCGGTGGTATTTCTCTCCTTCCCACCCCCTTGCTTTCCTCGAGCTATCGTGATACACCTTGCACGAAACCTAGTCTCTGGAGCTTTATCCGATAAGCTGCATACCGATACTAATCGGAACAATTCTTCCACAGATGCTCGAGGAGGCGTTGGGCAACTGGGTATTGCGTGACAGCTAGCAACGTGAATCCGTGCCACGCGACATCTTAAGAAGAATTTTCGTGCGGTGAAATGCCTCGTTCCGCGGCCTGGGAAGAGGAGACGTTTTCGCGCGTTCCGGAGGAACGTGGACTGGCGGGATGAAGGGACTTCGCGGGACAAAAGAAGGAAACGAAAAACGGAGGCGAAGTGGCGAGAAGAAATGAGCGAGGAGGCACCTTGTATTCGGCTGCTTGTTTCAGGGGCAGCCACGTACGACTTTATAGGGTGTCTCCCTCTCCGCCGTCTAGACGAATCGAAAGATATGATCTTTGAATCATAATGTATCGCTTTTAATAAATGCAGCCTCCGCGTGCGTGCGTGAAAATACGATGCGTGGCAAAGCACGTCGACGACGAAGCCCAAAAAGAAGAACGGGAACGAGGAAAGGGGGGAAAAAACAAGCGGAGACCGAGAGAGACCGGGAGAGACAGAGCGGGACGAAAGATAACCCGTGCTCGTGATCGAATCGGTCGGCGGAATCCGTGTGAAAATCCATAAATTTCGGCGCAGAGAAAAGAGATTAGAAAGGTCGTGAATCTTTCGTTTCCAGGTCGGACTTGACGTAAATTGTAGCGGCGTAGTCGAATCTGAAAATTAGGTTAAAGGATTCGGTTCTTTGAACCTGTCTACACCGTCCGTTTAACGATGGACAGACGACGACTATTCGAGCGTCTGCCTTCCGAAATAAATCATTCGTGATACGTTGTAATGTCGGGGGCTAGATTTACCGGAAACATTTCACGTCTACAATTCTTGCACAGTGGGTCGTACTCGTCTATTCTCAGACTGGTAATGTTAGTTAACAATGCATGTCTCAGTAAGAATGTCTAGTTACGAAGAAGTTTTCACGATAAATCTATCTAGGATAGAGAATGAATTTAAATTCCGCTTCTCTCCCTTGGTTTCCCTCGCTCGACTAAGATAAGTCGGAGGTGTGTTGTAATAGGAAATACTCTTTATCGATGATTAATTCCTCTTGGCAGATAGCCATCGTCCAAGGTAAACTTCACTAGATTTCATCTTCCTCCTCCTCCTTCTCCTCCTCCTCCTCCTCCTACACACCTTTACATCCCAAGATGCCTGGAAAATTCTGAATCGAATTTTCGTCGAATGCATGTTGCGTCGGAGGAACAGCCACCGAAAGGGTAAATTTAGCCGGGTGCACGCGATCTTTCTCGAGTCGAATCGACATGCAGCAGCGGCAGGATCACCTCGTCGGTAAACAAATGGACGTAGCTACGAAAAGAGAGAGAAAAAGCGAGGGACACTTTATTCACCCCCTGTTGCAGCAAGCGGCGACATCGTCGTCGCGTTGACCGATGCGTTTGGATCACGCGTGCATATCATCGCGGGACTCCGCGTTACACGCAGACACGTGCACGCATTTAAATGTACAAAAAGAGGGAGGCCGCGGCATCAGAGAGGACAGAGAAAGGAGGAGAAGACAGACATCGGGCGAAAGAGAGAGAATGCAATTTGATCCGGCGAAGAGAGGCAAGCCGAATCGTCGAATCTCTCCGACGATGCAACACAGTCACGTCTGACGTCACCTCCGAATCCTCCGTCGCGATTCGGACGTACGGACAGACAATCTGGCGTCTAGACGTACCAAAATAAATAACGCGGGGCCTTGCCTCGCCATCAAACTGTTGTTTGCAATCGTAACACTCATCCGTCGGCCTTGTCGGGGCCCCTCGTGCCGCGGGCAGGGATTCGGAATAGAACGGAATCTCCTCGGAACTGGCTCGTGGACGCTCCGTGTCGTTTTAATCTGGACGGCCCGATTAACGTGCTAGGAGAGCCCGCTTTGTACCGAGTGGTGTCCTTTCGGAGTAAGTGCACGTTTCAGCACGGACAGTTCGCCACGCGAGTTTCGTGATAACGCATACTCTCTCGTTTTGCTTTTCAGGTGGTCCAGAATCGTGGCATTTGCCAGTTTCCAGACTCCCCGGCAATCGGCGTAACTCTTGCAGCGCATCGTCCTGCGTCGGACCAGCAGAGTCATCGATTGTTCGATTGGCTCGGAAAGCTTCGATGATGGCTGCCGGGCTGTGCGCCAGACAGCCTGCAAAGCAGGTTCGATGACTCTCTCCGCGGTCCCAAACTCCGACGATATTTCGCCTAGTTCCCGGATTTTCCTGGTACCCTGCTGAAGTGACGTCAAGCGACTGACGACTGACGACAGTTGGAGTGAAAACCATAGACCGTCCACGTCTGGCAAATTATTTCTTCGATTGGATTTGAGACAAGTCAGAATAGAGAGGGGGCGACAGGGGGACAGGGGAGGGGAACGTCAAGGCGGGTACGGCTCGATCAAGGGTGAGAAGGCAGCATGAGAAGACGTAGAAAAGAAGGAAAAAAAATAATGGAAATGGTGCAATTTGCATGGCTCGGATACATCGCTCTCTTCCTCCCTCACCTCAGCAGAGGCAGACGGCAATCGAGATAAGGAGTACCTGGAATCCGGCAGAAGAGAGATTCGGCCCCGCCTGCTCAAGCTTCGTGGAAGCGAAATTTGAATTTCGAATCGTATTACGCAATCCCACCCACGCATAGGTGCACTGGTTTCGACGCCTCAGCGTCGCACGTGGGATCGTATGAAATCAAAAACAACGACGGCCATCGGGGGCTACCCTTGTTGTAATATTCCAGAATTTTTCCTGGTCACGAATAAAACATTCGAGTACAGTCCGAACGATCACGAATCTAGGCGATTCGTGATCACACGGATTTGACAAGCACCGTTACATCATGCATAATTATAATAAATTCATCTCGTCTTACTGAGCCGTGGTACTTTTCCGTCTTTCGGAATAACTTTGAAAAATGTTTTCCCGCTTCTTTAGGGAAACATCGTCACCCCCCGAGACCGTCGCTGATTTCTGTATCTCGTCTAATAAATTCAATATTAAAATTGGCACCGCGCGTTAGATTGTGACGTATAGGATGCATCTTGGTTATTTAGAGATGAGAGATAAAATAAATTCGCTGCCGGGGCATAAATTATACATCCCCGTCGATCCACCACGTGTCCAGCGCAGAGATTAATTTCCAGCGGCTACCGAGCTTTCGGAAGATGATCGCCAGCCCAGATAGCGGAACATCGGAACTGACGCAGAGATGATAAAGGGTGGAATCCGACTCTACTCGTCTCTGGAGAAGAGTCGCGTGCTGCAACGAAAGACGATGGATCTGATTCGTCGCATTCCGACGAAACGTGGGCGAGAAGAAGCGCGAAGAAGGAAGGATTCCAATTTTAATGCGTGCTTGTATTTCCCCTCGCGCATGCTGCAGAAGATGTGATCGGTGCTCTCCGAAGAATGAAGAATATCGAATTAAAAATGCATTGCAATGGTGAACGATTTAAATCGATGCGAGTCTCAAAAGAATACCGGCGAATATTAATGAGTCCAATTATTTAAAACTTGCCAACGGTCAGAAGACGCCACTATCCCCAATTAGAGATGCATGAAAATTGGCCCGCGGCGTGATTGAAGCTGAAGTCACCGGTGATAAATTGCTCGACGTTTTGTCGAAGCGAGCATCGCGACGAAACTTGTTCCCGATTCTGGCGTTGGCGTTCCGTGGACCCTCCTTTTAGACGTCCGCGCAGAGTCGCGAGAAACAAGAGGAACAGGATGAAGGCTTTGAAGTATCTTCAATTCTCTTCGGTTCTCGTGTGTCCGAATCTCGACGACGCTTCTAAGACAGCAGGCCATGTGGTTTACTGTTTCCACCATGGCCAGCCAACTACGCATTTCCGCGCGTTGAATTCCTCTGTGGGAATCACGCTGATTCGCTCGGATCAGATACGATACGTTCGGCTGAACCAGATCCATGTGCCAGAATCCGGTGAGTCTCTGATCGTAGTGCAATCCGGGTTGTTTTTTATCTTCCCTTATCTTCCGGCGCGATCGTCTTCGCAGCCTCCGTATCTTTCCAATTCCGTTTGATTTTCAGGAGGACGTAAACAGTGGATTCGGACCTCTTCGTGGTGAATTTTTCCAGGTCCATCGGGTTCCTCTTTTCCAAACGATCTTTCGAGCGAGAAGCAACCCGGTCTACAGAGCATGTGTAACGCCGATGTTTATCCACAAGTTATGCTCTTCGGATTTCGCTATTCTCATCGGGTTTGGCGGTGTGCCAGGGACCTAAAACTGGCTTGCTTAACTTCTACTACGTAGAGCAGGAAAATAGAGGAGGTGTGCAGAATTATCAAGGCCGTAGACAGTTCGGCGGAGCTGATCGTCCCGAAAAATGCAAATTGCGCCTGAGTGGCGGGAACGTACGTCAGTCGTACGTTTGACGCACCGATCTATCTTGAAATAATTTCCATCTACCCATTTTGCTATTCTTAGGAAGAAGACACGAAAATGCAAAACCACCGAGCGATCGAGGAAAATCGAAAGGAAAGGATGTCGGAAAAAGAATCGCTGGAAGATTAAGACTGAGATTCGCGTCTCAGGGGAATACCACGATCTAACAGAGATCGATGGACGAAGAAGCTTTTTCCGCGGATGTTGATCAAGAACAGCTTATCTTCCTTCGCTTTAACTTCCGTTTCTGTCAATCCATCGTAGCGCGATCTCGGTCGCTGTATAAGCACTGTCTAGGAAATCAAATTCCCCGCAGTGGAGCGTCAGATAGCGCATGAAAAATACGCGGGCCTGGTTTCCTACAAAAATTTGTACGTGACTCGTGGTGGAATTTCTCCCGTCGCGTCTTGGTCAGATAAGAGCCGCTTCATCTTCCCGATCCACCTCGTTTTAAGCTTATCTTCCATCGAATTAAACCATCTAGACTCCGAGTAATCGGACTTCTTCCTCGACCGAGGACTTTTATTCGCCTGTTTCTATTTTCTTGCCGTTCGATAGCGTTCGAAATCATGTCTGAAACCACCTTTCGAAGCTACGTGATGCGTAAAGTTCATTGGTGAATCAATCTTGGACGTTTTCTTTCCGAGAAGACCTTCGATCGGTCCACGTGCGCTCAAGAAATCCGTCTCGCCCATTATTCGGTGTGTGGATAAACAAGTCTCCTTTTCTTATATAATTTGATCGAAATCTCGAGCTGGAAAAAAAAAGGAAAGAGAAAAGGCAGAACGATTAAAGTCGTTGATGTACCTTCTTCATTTACGCCCCGAGCAACACTTTTGTCGCAACCTCTTCCTAGGTGAATAGGTGAAAGCCCCGACGTATAAATCCGACTAATTATCTAATGGCAAGATACTCATAATCTTCATCAACTTTGGCACTAAGAAGAATGTTAGAACAACGTAGCAGGTGATTGCAGGAATAATTTATTTACATCTTTATTCTTCGATTTGTAATAATTTTACCATACGAATTGCAAAACCTTTTTGCAGGAAGCCTTGCTATTCTTCAGGAATCTCGTAATCCGGCATCCTGGAGGAACGAAAAGATCTAAAGAACCAGCCGAGTCATGAAAGCAAAGCAATTCCAAGAAAATTCGCCAAACTCCTCGGCAATTATTCCCTCGTCTCTCTCGTTAAGCGATTACGACTGCCACGAGGAAGATATCCTTCGAGGTGCAGGCTGGTCGAATAACGCAACTCCCCTCCGCACGACAATTATTCTTATCGTCCAGGAAGCGTGTCTCGTAATTTCCTCGCGGCAGTCATTACACGGAATCGCGTGGAATCTTCACCGCCGTGTGATCCTCGGCCGACTACCTGGATCGCGAGCAAGTATCGTCGATTACGAGCACGGTTTTCCGGTTTGCTGGTGCGTGCAAGTTTCAACGACCGTCCGTGGCTAAACACGGCGGAAGAATTTTGATGGACCACGCAAGAGAAAGTATCGACGGCCGTCGCGACGTTCACCCTGTTAAATTGCGTTTCGCGTCCGCCTTCACCCACGATCCGTTACGACGACGCGTCGTCACGTGATCGACGGCTACGTACGCCGTGCCGGGTTCGTGTGAAAAAGAGCCAGGAATTTTTTTCGACCTGTCACCGATACAATTGCCCAGTCTCCACGAAATTCACGGTTCTTTTCGAATTCAGGGCTCGTAGGGCTTGCTCGATGAACGAGGCATTCGAATCGAAAGAATCGTGAGGATTGTCGCCCTTTGCGTCTTTGCTCGAGTAATTTCCGAATCATCGAAATTTCGTGGTTGTCTCCTGAAACAATGTTTGAAACGGTTTATGTTAAATACGAGCTATGTTACGACCGTCGAGACCGGTGACATATGCTGGCATATACAATTAGAACGATAGCGACGTATTTACATTACTATCTTATCGTTGCAACGAGTAAAAATGTACGATAGTTAAAAGGGCAAACCATTATGCTACGCTTAACTTTAACACCATCGCACGAAACGGAGTGTAATATAAATTTTCGTATTCGAAGTTCATTGGTCTCGCTTTCTGTTGAGAATCAATCATGTGCGCCACACGACGATTGACACAGACTTAGTCACAGCTGATAACTGATACTTATCTCTAGTAACGATATTAAAGATATTTGCTGTTGGATGCACGAATGTTAGTAACAATTTTTTCTTCACTCGAAACTCACCGGGGTTGAGAATCTCTGAATTAATATTCGATACGTCGATTCCATTTATTTCGATATTCTTGTACATATTTATGTAAATCTTTCGATTAACTATGATTCGTATAATTAATGCTAATAGAAAAGAATAATTGGTTTTATCGAGCGTGCATAGATGAAAGTGATTCTTTGAATACAGATTACTAGTTCTTCAGAATTTAATTAACGATTTGCGCATTAGTTTTGATTTAGATTGTCTTATCGATATTATCTGACACGCGATCATGGGATTGTCATTTCACTTACCAATAATCTATATTCGTAAATTATTTCCCCTTCTGTTTCTGTAATGGTTATTTGCTCTTCCTCAATCAAGCAGCATCCGTTATCGAGCTTCGTGCCAGTAACGACTTGTATCCGACAGGGAGAGCACGTTTCTGCTGAAGACATGTCTGTGACTGTAAATCCAGCTTTCGAGGTATTTCATATTTAATGTTTCTCTTATACAAGTACCATTCTGTTATCGAATCTTTTGTCTTGAAGTTGATTAACACAACTTTTTTTCCTTAAAGTTGGCTAATACAACTTTTTCTTTAAAGTTGACTCACACAGCATTTTCCTTAAAGTTGACTGACACACTTTCACTCAGATTATCAGGTAATGGCTACGGAATATAAGGCTTCCAAGAACGTGTCATATTCTATCGTGGTTCCAAATGAAACTGATCGACATTCGCTCAATTATTTCTGCTAATGTTTCTTCGTTCTTTTTACAGAGTAACGACTTAGATTCAATACAGGCTGTCCACTTGAGAGATGAACCCATAATAAGGAACAAGGTACGTCACGTTCTTGTAATTCTTCGAAATCATAAAGCATGCCATTGTTCATTGACGAAGATCCAATATTACCTGGACAATAACAAACGCATCATTCTTTCTTTAGCATATCAAGAAGAGCTGCATCTTATCGGTTAACCTCGTATTTAACGTGATACGTCTTCGTTATCACTCGAATGGCGGATTAAACATACATTTTGAAGAATGGTTTCTTTTTTCAGGAAACCCTACAAAAATCAAGTGATTATCTACAAGCAGTATATAAAGCTTTGGGCACCTATGTTTCCAAACATCGACGAATATTCAAATTTCTCTTTCTGACTTTGCTAAATTCTATAATATTAATTTATTTCATTTTTGCCACCCTGTATTGGAGGAATAACAGTAAGTATCACAGCTATAAAAATTTAACTGCTTTGTTTCTTTATTATCTTAATCCTGACTTTTCTCAGATTATGAGGATAAATTCGATTGGTGCAACGGTTATGGCATGCTAATCCTCATATTGGCGATCGTTTATGGCGCAATTCTTTATCACCTTGCTTCGAAATATTTCCTCGAGAAGGTATTCAGCTATTGTTCCCTACCATGCAACAAAGTCGTCAAAAGTATCCAAAGAACGAGGTAAAACGTTCATTCAAGTGATTTCGTAAGTAGCGTTATTATTTACGTTTCATTTGGATAAATTTTAAGCGTTTTGTTCTTGTTTGACACAGATATGGCAGCCTCATCGGCCAAACGGTAATTTACACGTGCGTATTTATTGCCATCATCGCATTCCTCATTGTCGATACTCTTGACTCGAAGGACAGATTAATGAGCGGAATCGGAGTCATCCTACTGCTGAGCTTTGGATGGATATTCTCAAAGCATCCAGATCACGTGAGTAAATCGCATTTATAGTATCGTTAAAGCATCGAAGTTGCAGTTCAATGCACAGATTGTCGATCCGATGTTTAAAGCATCAGAATTTTTGAATATCAGATTGTAGAGTAACTTTGCATTTCGAGTAGATTATCGAACAGATACATTGAAGTATACATAGAGACAAATATTCGATATTACATGTTACATTTTACATCAGCAGCAGCAAAAACGGGATCAGAAAATGACGTCTGTTATTTTTACAAATTCAGATCAACTGGAGACCCGTTTTGTCCGGACTGATTCTGCAATTTCTTTTTGGCCTGATCGCGATTCGATGGTCTGTCGGTCGGTCCATTTTCCAGTGCCTTGCTAACAAAGTAGAAACGTTCCTGAATTATTCCAAGAGCGGTGCAAGCTTCATCTATTCCGACAAGTTGGTCGCCGATGGTGTCTTCGCTTTCACCGTTAGTGGAGCTACATTCTTCAAAAAATGAACCACTCTTATATTGACCAAGTGCTTTATCTTACAGGTTTTGCCTGTAATCTTCTATTTTAGCTTTTTCGTTCAAATATTGTACTATTTAGGCGTCATGCAGTGGATTGTTCTTAACTTAGGTAGACTATTAGAAAAGATCATGGGAACCTCGATCTGTGAATCAGTAACTTGCGCTACAAATATTTTTGTTGGGATGGTAAGAGGATGAATAGATCGATATTTTGTGTTGCATATAGCGATTGTACATATATTTACAGACTGAATCACCGTTAGTGATCAAGCCTTATTTGAACAAATTGACTACCTCGGAATTACATACAGTCATGTGTTCGGGTTTTGCTACGGTTTCAGGTGAACGAACAAAAAGCAATAATTAATCCTTTTTACTGGAAACATGTTTAACTTTGTCTAATTTCAGGGACCGTTCTGGCCGCCTATATTAATTTTGGAGCAAATCCTGCTCATCTGATAACTGCTAGTTTGATGGCAGCACCAGCAGCTCTTTGCTACTCCAAATTGTTTTATCCGGAGACTGAGAGGAGCATGGTTACTTCCGAAAACATCAAACTAGAGAAATCGTGAGTTATATGAAGTAATGTATAATACAGTGTACACTATGTGCTAGTAGCTCGTAGAATGTTCATCATTATACAACAATTATTTTAGAACAGATTTCAATTTACTAGACGCTGCGAGCAAGGGTGCTGTAGCAGCAATACCTCTGGTCTTAGGCATAATCGCTAATATTATCGCATTCGTGTCGTTTACCAAATTCATCAATGCTTTTCTTTCCTGGTTGGGGTTACTAGTCGGTTACAAAGAATTAAGCTTCGAAGTAAGGAAACAGAACATTGGCACCAAGGAATATGCATCTATAATGTTTCGATGAAACACGATTTCTTTTTTCCTTTTAGTTCATTTTATCAAAAGTATTTATGCCACTGAGTTGGATCATGGGAGTGCCTTGGGATAAATGTGAAGATGTAGCTACTTTAATAGGCTTGAAAACAGTGATCAACGAGTTTGTCGCTTATGAAATGTTAGGGAAGTATAAGGAACAGAAGCGAATTTTTGGCAGGACTGAGGCTATAGCTACTTTCGCCATTTGTGGTTTTGCAAATCCCGCCTCTGTAGGAATTACTTTAAGTGTGCTGACTTCATTGGCTCCCGATAGGAAGGAAAATATATCCAAAGCTATCATGAGAGCATTTATATCTGGTAATATCGTCTGTTTCCTTACAGGCAGTATCGCTGGTAAGATTCGACATTCGATAGATTATTTTCGGGATTAGAGCTGCTTTACTGATAGAGCAATCTTATTTTCAGGAATGTTGGTATCCGATGAATACGAACAGTCAATAAATGCTTTATCATTAAATGCAACTATTGATTAAGGAATGATAGGCCAGTATTTACCACTAATTTATTATTTTATAAAATATTTTTGTAAGTATGTTGGGCAGACAAGAAAGGCTGTTTCCGCGATAGATTTAATTGGCATTATTACATAATACTACGTTATAATGTAAATATTAAATTCGATAAATAACCCGCGTTTGTTGTACCGATACCTCCTGAATCATACGATTCATTCACGTATTGCTATATGTACAGAGAAATTACTACAATATCGTACGATAAATATGAGAACTTAAACTAGTTTTTTCATTTTGTACATTCTCGGTGATTTTAAATACATTCCTTTACAATAATAAGTAAAAAGGATTCATAAAAACATCGCTAAACTTAATACTCAATGTATGGAATTGGCGTATGTATCACATATCGAATATGAAATGTTTGTGTTGCGTGCTTTCTTGAGCAGTAAGAAGCAAGTGCAATATTATTCGTATCCTAAATAAATTTTTATGGTAGACTGTGAAGTTCATGTAACTCGTATAGATTATGTGTACGGTTGAACACGTCCGCAGTTACCTCTAACATTTTTGGTAAGATATCGACGTTTCTTTGTACGTCCGTACCACAGACCTAAAAGGAAATTAAGATTCGGGATAATCTCTTATTTTTCATCAAATATTATATTATAACATATTATCAAAAAGTAAACCTACCTTTTTGAGCAAAACTTCTCTAGTAGGCATTGCATACATAGCAACAATTGCTGCCTTTCTAATCACCCATGGGTGATGCTTGGCTAGTGTTTTGTTATAAGCATCCTGGCAACAGCTGGACGTCTTATCGCTGTCTGACAGTTCACCTAATTGCCTTAAAAACTCTCTAATGAAGTCTGCAAATTCAGAAGATGTTACTAAATGAAGTAGAATCAATTTTTATAGAAAATTATATACGTTACAATACCTAAGCCTCTATGAAGCCTCAACAGTGTACGAGAACCATTCGTGCAATCTCCTTTGTCCAGAATATTGCTTTCCTTCTCGTATTCTATCATAGACTTTATTGTGATATAACATTGTTCATTTTTATTCATTAATTCAATTAATACCTCAATTTTCTGTTTTAAATCAGAGGATACGAAACCAAAGACAGTGCCCATAAGTTGGAAAAATCTGTATATGAAAAATTATATAACATATATATATATATATCATATTTATACACAGAAACAGGTGATAGGTGAAACCACATTTGCATACATTTGTAAAACACATAATGATAGATGATACACGAATATGGAAATTACGCATGACATTGACATTATGATAATAGAAAAGTGCTAGCTTTTAATTGAAACTAAAGAGGAAGTAGCAAATGACTATTAACTAGGTACAATATTGAACTTCCAGTTTGTTAGAGGTTATGTGCAATACCGAATACAATATCTTGCTATCTTACTTGTAAAGTTCATTGTAGGCATCCAAATAGGCTTTGAGATCAATATCGTCGTCTTGAACTAGAGCTCGATCAAAGTGATCGTGAACTAGTCTCAGATCAAAATAGACTAATTCACAACCTTCCGCCATTTTCGCGTTTTTTGAATTAGAATTGACATCAAGCTGCTTGCCACGTAGGTAAAACTTAAACCACGTTATCTGATTAAAGGTAGCATATTTATTAAAAACAGCTGGCGATAACACGTTCTATAGTCCGCGGAAGCAAAGATAAGCTAATAGCAAAATCACATCGATAAGCCAAGCTTTCAAAAGTCAATTATTTTTTGCTTTTAAGTTATGACAAACGGTTATCAGCGACGATCAATTTTAGCATCATTACTTAACACTTTGATCGATAAATTTGTGTTTCAAACAATTTAGATACATGTAGAGTATAAGTTTCATTTGCGACACTTTTGTTTGGACAATACTTATTTTTTGGTTCGGTAGTTACGTTATCACGTGTTAAGGTTTCGACTGGACATTCATTTAAAACTTACCGTTTTACATCATAGAGGGCACGACGATACTTGAAATTTTTAGAACAATTGTTATTTCAGTTCGTTAGATATTCATAACATATTTATGAAATTTTTGATATATTAGTAAAATTTAAATAATTTAACGTTTTAATAAGAAACACTTCGTCATAGGTTGGACGTAGATACACATTACTGCAGGTGATAAAATAGGAAATTAAAGTACGAATATATATTAGTTTAATATAATTTTAATTTTAATTACTTTACTACTGATTTTTTAAATTGAATCTTTTAGTTGTGTAAGGATTTCAGTGCTGTTACCATTATTTCATCCTCTGAATTTTCATCCTGTTTCACTTGCTCCCAGTATGTTATACTACAGTCGGTATATTTTAATTTTTATTAAAATTAAATATTATTAATTATATTTTATTGTAATATTATCAATTACAATTATAATACAAGCACGACTCTGTGTCACGTATCTAATTTTCTTTTATCATATTTGCAAATAAAGTTACATGATATTCATCATTACTCGACTGTCATGATAAGGACAGTTTTGTTTGCTTTGTCACATTTATCGATATATTAATTTCTCAGAATAAAATGGACAGATTATTACCGTATTATTCAATTAAAATCACTACAACTACCAATATAACAAGTGATTGATATGAATCTAAATTGAGGAGGCACTAAACAGTGTCTTCACTTTCCGTTATAATTGCTAACTCTATACTGATAGAAAAACTTTTATAACTCGGATTCGTGATTCTTTTAGAATTCATTACAGCATATTATTCCTTTCTAAGCGATAAATCTAATTTCCATGGTTGGTACGCAATGTATCGATCCGAGCTTCTCTACAGGTTTCCAAGCATTTCCGCTAGGGTCGCTGCATGCGATCTCTTTGTTCTCTCCTCTACAACCTAATTTAATTGCAAATGAATGACCGTTAAACATTCCAAACTTGTCTTCCACCTTACGCTCGTCAATTAATTACTGCAATCTAGACTCGATCGCTTTCGCGACCACATATTCATCCGTACGTGTTCATTCGGGCTGAGGAAAATGAACAGCAGACGACAGTAGCGTACGTACTTAGCCGAGACTAGACGTTTTCCTCGAATACATGGGATTTAAAAGAACTTTCCGCCATATCGAAACTGCTCCGTTACATCGATTATTATGCTTCGCAATAACGTAGCGTCGATAATTGATCAAGACTGCTGCGGCCATGAACTTTGCAGCTCCAAGACTGTCAGTACGATCGGCCATTACGTCATCGGTGACGCGCAGAACAATGGCGTATGAACAAAAGAGTTTGAGAATCTGGCTGACACATAGATGTATGTTGGTAACTGGTGTCCCTGGGGGCGTTAAATAATTCACCACAGCTGGGACTAAGGGTTAGGTAAGAGGCGAAGCTTGTGGGAGGGCGAAGGAGGCGAAGGTTGAAGGACCGATCAAATATTCACGTCTGCTTCAACGCGGATGGAGCTAAGCAGCATGGAGTACGGAAACATAACCGAGAAAAGAAGAATCTGCAGAGTCTGACCGTGTCTGATATACTGTCATCTTGCCTTCGAAAATCTTTCTGCTGCTTACAAATTACCGAGTTCCAGATGTGCCTCAAATATTCAGGTCCACCCGCCAACACGTCTTAGCCTTTTCTTTTTCCCATGGTTACGCGTACCCGGTTAAGTGATCTCACGGGGGTTCGAACTCGAACGACCAATCACACCGAGGCGCATAAAAATGTGTCACTGGGGTGTTGTAATATCGGCAGTCGAAGCTTGTCAATAGCAATTTCGACGATCACCTCGATCGTGTGCCACGAATTCGGTTAGTCCCACGTTCCCTCTTCTTCGTGGGTCGTCCTGAGTAGGTCGTCTCCGAGAGACCAGAAATCGTGGAGAAGCGATCGACTGCAACGCAAAGACAGGTTTCGAATATCGTTTCACCTCTAATTCGATAATTGTACCGTTATTTACGCTCTTACCCCATTCGCACTTGACCACCCCTAGAAGGAAAGTTGATCCCTCGAAGACAACTCGGGCAACATCGAGTCGAGAAAGGGCCCGAGAAAAGAATTGGTCAACGAGGCGTGCTCAGCTCCTAATCATCATTCTAATTATCTCGGTAACCCAAGCCAGTGTTCGTGTCGCGCCCTGGCTTCCCGCCTCTCTTGTTCCCTCCCGAGCTTCTCCATTCTCTCATCTCGGTCCGCACCCTGCCTAACAAATTTTCTACCCTCTCGAGCTGCTTCTGTTCGTCTCCTTCGTCGCCGATCGTCATCGTCTCTCTCTCCGATATCTAGCACCGTCTCTTACCCTCCTGGCCCTCGGTTCCTTTCCATCCATGGTCCCGCGACGCGTCTCTTTTCTACCAAGTCGAGATCCAACTGCGGGATTGCCGACGACCGCCCATCTAAGTTTGACAATTAACGGCCGACTAGGGAAAAACAAATTAATTGCGTCGGAATGTCAGAAACACGCGGCCTAATCTATCGGACAGAACGGAGGCGTTCCACCTCGGCCTCGTTAGAGGCTTCTGAGCCTCGTGTGTCAATGAGATTGGCAAGACCCAAGTCTTTCGCTGTGTTTCGTAAGACGGCTGTTGACGTTTCGTCGGGAGGTTGGCAGGGACTAGTGTCAACGGTCTGGTAGCGTTTCACGGGCGACAGAACGATGGTTGGGAGGCAGAAGAAACTCGGGGCCACGGTGACTAGGCGACAGACACCCTTACGAATCTTTTCTTCCCTCCGGTTCGTCCTTTTGTCCCGGTTGTCAGGGCTGACAGAGAATGCAAGCATCGAGGACGAGGTATTTGTCATACGTCGATAGGCGTCAGGATTGACATACTCCGCGAGCGTGAAACGGAAGCGGCGTTTGGGGCGGCGACGATTGAAGGGTTCCGAGGGAAAGACAGATAAATATTTGAGGAATTTGTCGTCGCGGAAGACGTCGGCATCGGGAGACCTATCGCTTGTTTACCAGCTCTGTAAAAAAGGATTTCCAGTGAATCCGTGTATGCAGAAGGCGCGAGGGAGGCTAGGTCCACGGGAATAGGGGTTGTCGTGTAATTACCGTGAGAAAACACGATTCCTCTGCGAACCCTGCGATCGAGGCTATATTAAGATTTTATTTTGCGAGGCAAGCGGGCAATCGGACGATCGCGAAGTGTAAATGAATTTCTTTCGGGGTCGCCGTGTAGATCGATGAGCAGATAACAGCGGACGTTATACCACCTGCGATTTCGTGGAGGCAAGAGGGAAACAGGTCGGCGAGTTTCACGTCTGTCGATCGGGGGATACAGTTCTACGGTACATGTACGTCGGATGTAACGGATCGGGCGCGAAAAGCCCAGGTAGTCGGCGTAAAACGAGCCCGGGAAGTTCATTAATGGATTAAGAGTGCTGGATCGATACGATTAGCGCGGCGCGCGAGCTAGCGTGCGAGCGGAGCGGAGCGAAGCGACACGCATCGAAACTTAAAACCGGTCCGTACCCGGTGCCGATGAATTTTTCGCGCCGCGGCGACGGCCAGGCTGTTGATTTATGGAAAACACGGGAAGTCGCGATGCTCGATGCAGTAGCTGATATCATCGGCAGAGATAGATAAATCTGGATTATCAGGGATTCCCTTCGCGAAGACATACATTCGGGCCAGGGGGGCGGAGGAGAGGCGCGCGTTCCGCGCGCAGTAGTTACGAAAAAAGGACGAGCAAGGCGATCCGTCAAACAAAGTCTATGAATACTTTGGCTGATACACAGCCAAAGCTTTGGAAAGGGGCCGGGTGGAGTGCGAGTGAACGAATTTAAAGTACTTCCTATCGCGCGTCAATCTGTCACTTGTATAGCGAGGGCTCCGAGAGAGATCTTCGACGAAATCTCTCTCTCTCTCTGTCACGGCGTCGCGATAATCGTCTCGGGGTGTTCGGGGATCCCCGCGAATTTATTACGCGTAATTCGCGGAGAATCGCCGATAATCCCGCTGCTAGTCCCAGCGACGGTTTCCTATCGATCCCACGGATTGATATGAGCACCGTGTAGCTCGTACGGCCCCTTAGACTTCGTATGGGGGTTGAATTTTAAAACTACCCCCTAGAGAGAAGCGGCGAGTTGGCGCCGGCCCGTCTTTTTGAATCAGACTCCTACACGCCCGATCTCGCTGTTGCGTGAACAAGTACAAATCCCCGGGGACCGTGTGTCGATACTTATTTCAGCCCGGGATCGACCGGCTAACGTTCAACGTATGAGCTACGGTTCTAACGGTTGTAACTGGTTATCTGTTGCAGAGGTCGGAAGAGAGGAAAAGAAAAGGAGAAAAAGACAGGTTCCGGAGGTTTCTCGGGAAATCCAATTGTTTCCCGGAAGAAGCGGTGTTCTGCTCGGGACGAAGGCGAATATTAAATCTGGCTGAACACTGGGAATCTTTCGAACGCAGTCTCGCGGAGGCCGTGCTCATTTGCTCGGGAGGATGGCAGTCGGCGTCGTTGCTTGGTGACCTCGTAGATTAAAGACGAGCGGCAAGTACGACGGTCCCAGGCGACCCTTTATGTCGAGCCACGTTTCTACGTTGCTTGAACTATATAGCAGCGAGA